GATATCTAATAACATGTATATGACCTATTTTATTTAATAGAGCTAGCAGAAACATTATCAATCGAAAAAACCATATATATTATGCAAAAAAGGGAGGAGAAGCAATTTTGTGTTCTTCCTTCAAAAACACGAGTTTATCGAAAAATATTTTGAACGTGCAATAGAAAGTAACAAACATGTGTGGGACAATGAACCTACTGTAAAAACAAAGTCTACGTCATATTTGGTATTGAAATGGCAATTAATTCAATGAATCTTCACATTCGACACCCAACAAAATGCTTTCCTGAAAAGAAATACTTTCTTCAAAAATCAAAAAGCCCTCTAGCAATACCATAACCAATATCTAGGATAAGAAGCAATTAGGTTGGTAACGTTGCTTAGTCCAAAAAGGATTCTCTATTGCAATTCAAATACATAACCTTCAACTAGATGGTTAGCCTAACAATAACCCAAATTGGAAAAGTAATAGCAATAACTATCATAGCTACAACAACAATAATGATGATGGTGATCCCTCGACTTGGGCCAACTAAATGTTATACGAATATCAACAACTCGTTTAAATATTCAAAAAAAGATAATGTAGAGCTCGAACATTCAGCAGAACCAAAAAATAAAATAAACATATGAAAAATCAATGTGCATTAGAAAATCAGAGGGACTTCTCTGTGAATGAAAGACAAGCAACCTAGTACACGATAAACATGACAAAATGGCAGGAATAAATGACTGGGTAGCTTTATATCTGATCAACTTTGAGCTAGGTACCTCAAACGGATTTCCTCTTTAACAGAATCTTTGGCATCATCTGCTGAAGTAACCAAGAATGGCAACTTAGATCTCACGGCATTTAAAATATGAACAAGCTCTGCAGCAACCTGGCAGACAAAACCAATAATGTGAAAAGTAGAGAAAAGACAAACAAATTATCAGACTAAAAGAACTTCAAAAAGATGGTTTCAAACATATCCAATTAGACTGCATAGAAAATATAACCAAGTGTTGAAGGAAGCGCTAATGTCTACAAAATAGAGAGCTGATTTGTGGACCCAATCTCCCTCCCTCCCTGCTCTCTCTAACCCCCGCACATATTCACTTGGGATTTGAAAAAACCAGAAGGATCAACTTCAAATTGCATCCTTTTTGTTCGTCCTCCCCTTGGTTCACCAATTCATTTCCCACCACAATCACCACTAAATTCAGCAGTGAAGGGACCCTTCCTAGATCCCAAAATTTCAACTTATTCATGTCCCACCACAATCACCACCAAATTCAGCAGTAAAGGGACCCTTCCTAGATCCCAAAATGTCAACTTTCTTCCAAGATACTATAGCAAGTATCTTTGTCCATGCTCTATTGCATGCATGGACTAATAGAGTAAATCAGTGGAAAATATGAAATTGGCATAGTGTTTACTGTATCTAACAATCCCATTTGCTCAGCTTGGTGAGTGCAACAAAACTGATACACCACTACCAACTGGTTCCATCGAAAAAAAATGCCAAAGCTCTTCAACTGATGGAGATAGGGCCAAACAAAACTGGATGACAAACCAAAAGAACTTTTTCCTTTTTGATTTCAACAGGGTATCCCTATAATGGACTGTGAAGAATTGAGTTGCTTCTATATTGCTCATTGATTTAACAGTCTAGCAATAGATAGATAAATAACAAAAAGGAAATGTTCAAATCAAAATTCACTTACTAGGTTGATATCAAAATAAAGACTCATTTAGGGGATTAGAGCATCATTTTTTAGAGGCAATTCTGAAAGCAATTCTACATGGGCTTCCAAGAATTAGTGAATTACAACTCTGGGGTTTTAATCAACTCTTCCACAGTTTCTGACGTGTTCATGCAGCTCAATTATCTTCAAACCCAACAATTTTCCACGAAGGGAAATGCATCCAAGCTTTTTCCTCCACAAATTGCTGGTGCTATTTTTTCTTTTAGATGTGATAGTTTCCGTCTACTAACTTATACTCAACATATAATTTGTTGCAAATGACTTCATCATTACTTATACAAGAAATACAATTAGATAGCGGTTAGGTTTCCGCACATGTTACAAAAAAAATCAGCTCAATAATGGCTTATAGTATCTTTTACGGAAAAAAACCTAGATACACACTCACGGTGATGGAAGATCAATAAGGGCAGAGAGATTATGAAAACACTTGAGTCTCTCCAATAGCATCACTACAAGTTCATTATGCAACTTTGGCTAAATGTAACTGCAAGAAACAATGTGAAGCAAAACATAACAAACCTCTATCATGCCAGTCTTCATTTTCTTGTTCACTGACTCACTTGGCCGCAACCGAACAACACCTTCCACAGTTATCACATACTCAAGTCTCAAGTCATTCACAACAGAATGAGCCTCAGGGAACTCATCAGGAAGCGTAGTAACCTAATCATCAACTATACATGTCATTCAATAACAACATCACCAATAGTAACCTCACAAAATTATCATCGAGAATCCTCAAGGCATATACACATTGTATTAAAAATACATCCCATCAAAATAATTTGGAGTAAAATGTTCAATTGACAGCATGGTAAATATGCTACACAAACAAACAGAGAGCGTCGAACAGTGTGCATCAAATCTAAATCCAGTCGAATGCAAAATAATCAGTGTCATTCTCCTAATGTCAAAAGAGATATTTTTTCTGGTAAGTATGTCAAAAGTGACGTTATTGCATAAATCTGTGCGCTTTTTGTGCGATTAAACTCGGGTTATATATATATATATATATATATATATATATATATATCGAATGTACACCAAAAGACAGAAATTCGCAGTTGCAAAATTATAGGCATAAAATTAATTCAGAAATTCAGGATAGTGAAACAAATTTTATTTCCAAAAGCAAAAAATTGCTCTCTTCTTGTGAACCTGAACAAGTCCAGTGTGGTCTCTGAGGTTAAGGAAAGTGAGACCACCATGAACACGGTGAAGCGCCACCCACCCGCAAAGCCGAACCCGTTTGCCCACATCATGTTCCGATAATTGGCCGCAGAACCCAGTTCGATTGACCCATTCAAGAGTTTCTTTGAAAAGAATTCCTGGTTGTTTAGTATTAGGAACTGAAGTTTCTGTGGAAGACAGTGGGAGAGAAGCAGAAGCAGAAGCAGAAATAGAGGAAAGACTCCGTTTTATAAATCTTTTGGGCTTTATGATTTTATGGGAATTGAGGCAAAACAGAGGACGATGAGCAAGAGAGATGGGTTTGGTTCGGAGAACTATTGTGGGTATAGCTCGGAGGAGGGCGGACATGGTCTATGAGAGAGGGAGAGAGAGGGGCTTATCTGCGATGCAGAGGGGACAAAGAGGGTTTAAGTTGTGTGTTTGGGAGTTCGCAAGATCGAATCTTGGGTACGAAGGAAAATTGGATGGATGGAAAAGACACGGGATGGAAAATGGGGAGGATTGAAAGAGTTTCCCTTGTTTGGTATAAGAGGAAAAGTGAATGGAATGGAAAAATCGGTGGATAGCTGGTCCTTCACGCCCACCATTTATTTTCCGTCCAATAGTGGGGCAGAAAGTGGACAGAAAAGTGGGACAGCTGGTATGAGGTTTGGTTAATTACTTCTATGCCCTTCATTGGATAAATCCGGTGAGTTTTCTTATAGCATCCTACATGCGCCACGACGCCACACGGCTAATTTATGTAATACATAAATACTGTTTATTATTTTGTTTTTGTTCCTTTTTTGACTTTTTACTATAAAAAACAAATTATTTTTTAGACAAATTAATCTTTTTATACTTGAATATACTTGTAAACTGTTACAATTTCAATTCAAAATTTACACATGTATCACGAAATAATTTTAAATATCCTATCAAATTTATTATCATTTTAATTAATAGTTAATTCGTAACAAAAATAAGGGGATTAAATCTTTTTCAAATTAATTGGATTATTTTGTAATAAAAAATTTACTTAATATATTTAAGGGTAGAATTATAAATTGGGCATATTTGTTTTTCCAATCCTTTCATTTTTTATCCAATACCAAACGATGAAAAATATATCTCTTCTATTTTTCATCTCTTCTATCAATCAAAAAAAAGGAAAAATAATTTTTTTTCTTTATAAATGAAAAAATTATTCCTTTCACTTTTTCTTCCTTCCTTCTTTCTATCCTTCGTACCAAATGGACCATAAAGAAATACATAAAATCTTCCTAAATCTTTACCAAACGGCCACTGTTTTCTCTCTCCTAATCTTTTACCCTTTTGGGGCCTTTTTCACTTCAAATCAGACTTTGGCCGCGAGAAAAGGTAAAATCTTGTGTACATTCACTGTAAATACCCTAAAGATACGTATACAAAACATCCTATGATTTTTTTAAAATCCACTAACATACCCCAATTACTTTTAAGATCTCTCCCTATAAAGTAATGGGCAATAAATACATAGGAACATCCAAAACTCATATATTCATTTACGTTGGATTTAATGTATTTATGAGAGATAAATTTTTCATGTCTTGACTCTAAGAAAAATTGTCAAGATTTAAATTCAAAATCTCTGAATTTACAGTTTATTTTTATTGTCAAGATTTAAATTCAAAATCTCTGAATTTACAGTTTATTTTTATTATCATTTAAATTATCCCTTAGTGTTCACTTCTTCACCTACCACAATGTAGGGGAAAATCCCTAAAATGAGTATAGAAGAATTACAAAAAAAAAACAGTAGTGTTATTTGAGAAAATTAAATGGATATATATGTATTTAGGCAATTAGGCCAAACAAGGAAAGCAAATCAGCAAGCCAAGAAAAAAGTGTAATCCAACGGCTCATTCACACTCTTTTATGGAATATTTTATTTCCTTCAGTCCAACGGTCAAAACCACAGCTGTTTTTAAATCTCCTATACCTCTTCTTATTTGGAAACTAGCCGTTACAATCTGCACAAACAATATCAACCAAATCAATTTCAATATTCACAAGCCAACCACTCAGAGATCTTCTTACTCTGTTTCTCTTTCTAATTAAATTTCCATATCTCATTCCTACCTTGGAAACAAGTTCAAATCAAATCAATTTCAAGATTCACAAACCCCACTCTGTCAAGAACAGATCTTCTTGCGCTGTTTAACTTTCCATTATCACCATCTTTCCCTCTCTGGTGAAGTTCATCAATGGCAATACCATCAAACAGATCTCCATCCCCAGTTTTCACAAGACCAAACCCTAATCCAAGAAACTCACAGAACAATTCCACCTTCAGAAGAAGTTTCAGTGGGAACCCATTTCCTCGACCTTCCGTTACTACAAACCCCAGAAGTTTGAACCCAGTCACCCCTGCTAATAGCCCTTCAGGTTCATCTCTTTCTACCACTTCAACACACACACACTGATTTAATTTAGGTGTTTGCATCACAATTCTGTAATGGGTTTTGATTAATGTTTGGTTTCTGTTTTGTACGAGTGAAGATTTTGCAGGAAGACACTATGAGGGGAAAGAAGACCCCGTTTCTTTAAGGGGTTCAGAAGAGAAAGAGAATGAGAAGGACCAGAATCTGAAAGGAGTGAAAGCTCGATCACCCGCGAAAAATTTCATGTCACCGACGATCTCTGCGGCTTCTAAATTCACCCCATCACCGAAAAAGAAAATTTTGGCGGAAAGGAACGAGCCTGTCCAGACTTCGATTTCAGTTTCTAGTGGAAAAGTCCGGTTCAATTCAGTGAATCTGTCAGATATTACTGAAGATTCTGATTTAAAGCCTTCAAACATGAGTTTGGATCAGAATGAAACTGGGAGTTCACTCGTTGAATCACTCGATTCAACCAATGTGGAACCAGGCCAGATCAAGGAGGCAACTGCTATGAATTTGAACACAGAAAGTTCACTTTCAGAGGCACCTCTAAATTCCCAGAATGTTTCTGAGTCATTATCAGAGGTGATTTCTGTGAGTTCTGATTTTGTCAATGTTGAGCCAAGTACCAAGAGTAGGCCTTTTTCTTCATCAGTGTCACCAATTATAGCACCACTAGACGCAGACCCATCTCTTCCTCCTTATGATCCCAAAACTAATTACCTTTCACCAAGGCCTCAGTTTCTTCACTATAAACCCAACCCAAGAATTGAACTTTATCTGAACAAGGAAAAAGGGCTTGGTATTGGAGAAGCTAAGCAGCTTGAAGAGAGCTTCAACTCTGAAAACTCTTCGGATGCTGATCTTACTGAAGAAACTCAGTCTGAAGACTCGCAGAAAGAATCTGAGGAAGCTTCTTTGGTTGAGATGATACCGGAAGAAGTAGCAGAACCTGATGTTCCTGAACCAGTAACGATAGGAACCCCCATTAGTACTGAAGTAGATACTGAAATCTCTAAGGAGACTGTTGAAGTGAAAAGAGTCTCAAAATTGAGGCTTTTTACGAGATCAACATCTATTTCTCTGCTTTTGCTATTCCTGATTGCATGTGTATCAGTCTCAGTTACTGATTCTCCTGTTATTGACACATCTGTATGGCAAGATATGAGGTTTTCTAAGCTTTATGACTCATCTGAAGTTATTTTTGCAAAAGAAAATTTTGATGGGCTTGCTAGGAATTTCAAACACTGGTCAGCTAACTCTGTCTCTTACCTCTATAAGTTGATTCCTATTCCTAGTGAAGCAGAGAGATTGGGAGCATTGCGATTCAGTAACTTGACTGCTTTACAAGAGGATATTTTAGGACGTTGCTGCCATTTGGTTGATCACAATGACCAGAGCTTAGAAGAAATCTATGAAGGAGAAGTGTTGGAACCTGTGAGAGATGAGGAGGTTGAAATGGGACTATCAGAAGAGGAGGAGGTTTATTCAGAGGTTGATGCTGATGACAATGGTGAAGTGGCATCAGAAAGCCAAGGTTACACAGAAACTGAAGAAGGGAATCAGACGCAAGAAGCTGAAGTGAATGAACCAAATAATTCAGAAGTGGTTTTGGACCAAGAAGAAAGGGATACCACTGCCTACCTTGATGCTGAACCCGAAAATACCTTAAACTGCAAAGAACAATCAGCTCCAATTTCTCTTGGTATGTCAGAAGAAGGTATTGATCTTGGTTCTTCTGCCAAAGCTGATACCACTACGGTGAATTTGAATCATGATAGCTCCTCAAAAATGGCTCCTTCAATTGAGGATTTTCATAATCCAGAAGTGCTGAATTCTCCACTCAGCAGGTCAGAAGCCAAGTTCTCCAAGCGTGATATGTTGGGAATTTTTTTGCTTTTTCTGGCTTTAGCGGCCACTACTGCTTTTATATATTGGAAGCAATCAAAAGCTACTACCCCAAACGAAGTGGTTCATGGTGATCTATTGTTGACTAAGAAGCTGATATCCAACCCATTAGCTGCCAGTATCAACCCTATGTACCAGGACAAACCATCATCACAAAATTGGCAGACCGAGGTTGACGTGGTTGGAGAGTCATGTCCCTCAGAAATGAGCAGCTATCAGAAGAGCTCATCTTATAGCAAGAAATTCCTGGGGGGAGCAGACGAAGCTCAGAGCCATGAGAGAAAGCCGAGGAAGAACCATAAACGAGAATCATTGGCTTCTTCATCAGAATACTCCATGGGCTCGCTTTCTTACGGAAGTTTCACAACATATGAGAAGATTTCCAGCAAGCATGTAAGTATATGTGTTATCTTGTTTATCATTTATCAAACAGCAAAGTCTTTTTCCAGAACTCCTGGAATTCAGGTATTATTTCTCACATTCAATACTTCTGTTGGTTTTCAAGGCAAGTGGAGAAGAAGAAATCGTGACCCCTGTTAGGCGCTCAAGCAGGATCAGAAGCCAAGTCACTTCTCCATGACAATTGGAAGGAAACTTTGCCTATTGCCACTGACTGTGTTGCATTGGTTTTGATTGTAATCCAAACACCTGGTTATGTTGGTGCCTACTAATCACCAACTTTCTCTTATTTTAATGCCCTACTAATCAACCACTTTATGTATTTTAATTGTGACTTGTGCCTTTTGCTTCATGGAGTGGTGACATGCTTATTTCCTGTACTTATTGATTTTTTTTTTTCAGAAATTATTAAGTGTTGCTGTTTGATGCCTTTTCCATTGTCTACTTTAGAAACCTGAATACTTGATTGGCAAATTCAAAGAGTATGGTAACATTTTTTGGGCATATTCACAAAAAATGCTAGAACAGTATCAACATGCCAAGAATTAATCTTAAGACGTGTGTTACCGTGGGAGAGAGTGATATGGTAGTTATTGACAGTAAGCATAGGGTAGAGGAAGACACAAAATTGACTTTAAACGAAATAGTAAAGAAATATATGGTAACTTGTGGTTTATAATAGAGTACAATGGTAAAAGAGGATTTATGTAGCGGACCCAAAAATGCTGGGACAAGGCTTTGTCGAGTTGAACTGAGTTGTTACCGTATACATTATAGATTTTGTTTTCAGAAAGCTCATGTCCCTAAGGGAAACACCTAGGTATGCTCAGGTTTTTCAGTTGCTAGCTTGAATCTGTTATAACTAATAAGCTTCTTTTCTCCTGCAAGAATTATGAGAATGAGTTCAGATTAAAGCTGGCCATGAAGAAACAGGGTGCTTGTTTTGTTCCAAGGTTTTTAGTTCTAACTTCTCTAAGCTTTCTTTAACAGGACTTTTTGTTAGGCTGCTTTATTTAGCACACTGTGGAGCAACATACTTCACTTTTTCTCACTTTATCCGTGACAAATCCATTCATGTCATGTTCAGAAGGCAAACTCCTGTGAATGCTGCAAATTAGGAAACATATGTCACAGCAGAAGAACAAAAATTCCCAATTTTTTAGGATCAAACACTAACGTTCCTTTGAAAACTCATGAGACAGAGCAAATTGTCCCTGCAAGGCTGCAACTATGCAGTGGGCAAACAATTCACTTGCACAATCTGGATAAGTCATATCCACTAGGAATTATTGTGGGAGAGAGAGAGAGAGGGAGCATTGCAAAGGTAATCCACTAATGTGATTGAAAAATAGAACATCTTAACTATGGAAAAAGCTAAATTATACAAAAATTTAATCAAGATCTGATGAATGAGCAACTCATACATTGATGCTCTACTCGGTGCAAAATGTTTATTGCCAGCTCTTTGGTCTGGTAAATATGCTGCTGGTGCATGCTAGAAAAACTGCAGAAAAAGATCTCTCCATCCAACAATATGCAGTCGTTCCACTGCCTCCAAACAGTGGATTAATAGGATGGGTTCCAAAGTGTTACACCCTACACCATCTCTTTCCAGTACAGAGATGCCCTCAGGGTTTGTTTAAATGCATTGGAGTCTCTCTCTCTCTCTCATTTCACTGGGCTTTTACTTTTTGTTTATTTCATTTTCTGAAGTTGTTGGGACTGGCTTTTAATAAATCTTTTGGTTAAAAAGTCGGGATTACTGAGGTATGGCTGGATGGCATGGTAAGCATTTTCTTTATTGTCTTGGAAAGCTTTGGTAACTAACCAAGGTGAGTCCTCTGTGAGTCCAAAAAATCAGTAATATTTGCATATTTTTATCTGGAAAGTTTCAAACATTTAAAACTTATGACTGAGCGATAGAATAACATAAAGGGTTAATCTCATTTTGTACCTTGAAAGATCGTTTGAATCTCAATTTACACCCTCAAAGATTAAAAATCTCAATTTACACCTTCAAAGATAGAAAATTGTATCAATGTACACCCCCAAAGATAAAAATTCTCAATTTGTACCCTCAAATATAGAAATTTGTATCAATGTACACTCCCAAAGATCAAAAATCTCAATTTACACCCTCAAAAATAGAAATCTGTATTAATGTGCACCTAAAACTAAATTGATAAATTATACCTAGATCCCCTCATGTTTGTCACTTAATCATTTGAACCCCTTCACATTTAGAATATTACCCCTACATCTCATGACGTTTGTACATGTGTAAACATAACCACTTTTCGTTGATATCTATTAATATAATGGTTAAAAAATATGATTTTATCCTAATAAAAAATTATAATTTCATATTATCCTTTATTTTGTGGATTCGATATACTCTAAAGTTCAAAATCAAGCTTACCATTTGAATGTTTAATAGAATGTATATATTTATAAAAAAGAAAATATGGAAAACATTATATAAATGTCTAAATTTTATTAGACATTCAAATGGTAAGCTTGATTTTGAACTTTAGAGTATATTGGACCCATAAAATAAGGGTAATTTGAAATTATAATTTTTTATTAGGATAAGATTATATTTTTTTAACGGTTATATTAACAGATATCAATGAAAATGAGTTACATGTTGTAATTGCATAAATGTTATGAGATGTAAGAGTAATATTCTAAATGTAAAGAGGTCCAAATGATTAAGTGACAAACATGAGAGGATCTAGGTATAATTTATCAATTTAGTTTTAGGTGCATAATGATACAAATTTCTATATTTGAGAGTGCAAATTGAGATTTTTTATCTTTGGGGTGCACATTGATATAAATTTCTATCTTTGAGGGTGCAAATTGAGATTTTTTATCTTTAGGGGTGCACATTGATACAAATTTCTATCTTTGAAGGTACAAATTGAGATTTTTGATCTTTGGGGGTGCACATTGATACAAATTTCTATCTTTGAGGATGCAAATTAAAATTTTTGCTCTTTGAAGGTGTAAATTAAGATTTAAACTATCTTTTGGGATGTAAAATGAGATTAACCCTAACATAAAAGTAGATGCTATGATATCTGTTGTGATGTTTGTACTCCAATAAAAAAAATAATTTGAACTTTGTTCTTCTAAAGAATTTAGTAGGTGAATGTCTTAAAATTCCACTTCAAATAAAACATCAATTAGGAGACAGTATTTTGAGTCTGTAAATAAATTATAGACCACTCAATTTTTTTTAGCAATTTTGTCCCCTAATTTTGGACATCCATATTTAGTTATATTCTTTGAGTTCCATTTGTTGATAGTAAAACTTTACCGCTATGCTTCATCCGTGGGTATAAACTTTCGAGTCAATCCACATAAATTTGCATGCGGTATTATTCTATTTCATTCACTTTGGTTGTTTGTAGCCTTCAGTTACTATTCCTGCCTTCTTTGGTTTGTTAGCCGCGACCTTGTAACTTGTATAGGCCCAGTACCAACAGAAAGTGCGATTAGGAACTAAACGAATTGTGTACTTTTGGCTTAGTTATCTTATAATAAGATGAATATATGATTATTATTGAAGCCCTTTCTCCCTCGAAAACATTATTCATGCCATAACCACTATCAGATCAGTTTATCTTTTACTCCTCTTACATAAACATTGGGATGTAGGTGCCTTTCCATCTGACTAGAAATCATTGTGAAAGCTACGGAGACTACATGTACTTTGACATTCCTGTTATAATTCTGGTGGTTCGACTGCCTCAAGTTATCTCTGCTTCTCCAATCTAATGGTGGGGGTCAGGCGAAATGTGAAAGAAACTATTTTCCCAACTCAAGCTTGTGATAGAAGATCGTACGCTAACAAATGCTAGCAAACCCTTACCTGTCAGCCTGAGGCAGAGGGGAGCGATGTGTTCTTCTTGGATTCTGCTTTCTAATAATTTTGATAGCCAAATCCTTGAAAGCTCACGATTACGGCCACTACCACAAGAAAATGTAATTAGCACTGATTTAGCATCCAAAACACCCTCATGCCTTACTGAAATTAATAAAATTCTTGTAAAAAAAAAAACACAAAAAATTCCTTTACATACAATCGATTTAGATCATTCTTCAATTTCCAAGAATACCAAACCTGCAAGCACCACGCATCATTTACATCATATAAAACATATAACTTCAGACACACAGCAGGTCGCTTTTTGTGCTTGTTCTGCATAAGCTTAGAAGAAAATCTGTAAACATATGCTCGTATTCCGGCATTTTCCCATAACCTGCAAAAGTGCTTATCTATTAACTCCAATGCAAAATTGAAGCATAATTCAGATTAAAGAATAGCCTATGTGAAGTACCCATGAGGCATAAATGTAACAAGTATGGAGTATCATGTACAGTTGGCCACAAACAGCGTTTGAACATGGGCAGGCATGTATATGTTCATAAGAACAAATAAGAGTGAAAAGACAAAACAAATAAGGGTGAGGGCTTTCCCAGCAAGTGAGGACTGATATGTGAAGTACCCAAAAGACAAACCTCACACCCAACAAGTGAACTCAATTAATCACGACGAAGAAACAATAAAAAGCAACGTGGACATTACTCAAAACTCAAAAGACTTCCAACCAAAAGTTCTAGAACTTTGGCTGACAGATAAAGTAAAAAAAAAAGAGGCGGACAGGCTGTTGCCGGGTCTAGGGATATTTAAATGTCCGCAACTCGAAACCTTGACTCCTAGGTCACTATAGAACAACCTTACTGTTGCGCCCAGGTCCACCCTCTAACGTCTATGCAGACATGCTTAAAAGCAGAATGTTAGGGCCTACATGCTGGCACTATAGCAGTAGGCCCTGCATGTGTGTGTGTGTGTGAGAGAGAGAGAGAGAGAAAGAGTAGTTTCAAGTGACTTGACATAAGTCAGATAGCAAAAATGTAAAAGGATGGACAAAATTCCACTTACCAGGGAAGTAGTTGATGTCAATGACATAATACAAATCTCCGATTCCATTCTCTCGTATGATATCTATATTGAACAGTCGGAGACCCTAGAAGGCATAAAGAGAATAAAACGATAATTAAACAGATCAAGTGTACCATAAAACCAGATATGGAGAAGACGAAGTTACAAAAGAAACAAGAAAAAATTACCAATCGATGACGGAGCTCCCTTGCAAGGCTCTCAAGCAAAGGTCTTGGAGGAAGCTCTGTGAAAACACAACTAAATCAGTGTAAATGGAAACTGGATCTTAAAACCCATGTTTGTTGCTGCACCAACATCAGACTGCATTTAATGCTTTGACAAAATATGGTATTATAATTTAGTTTATGGTTGTGAGCCAGGCGTTAGAGGAGGTGCAGTGAGACCTCAGAATGGGTGAGACAACTGATTTCACTAGCAGACTACTAGATCACGTACTTCGCACAATGGACCCCAATGATGGAGAAAAACACAAATGCAATCAACCCCTACATGCTTTAATAGCACAGGTAGGTAGTAATGGAGTTCATGACGAAAAAAAACACAATTACTGACACGAGAGAGAGAGAGAATAAAAGCTCACCAGCAACATGGTCAAGATCGACATCATCTGCAGAAGCCGCTGCACCTGAAACTCTTGGGAAAGGGAATACACCAGCGATTTTTGTTAACTCTTGTTTACATACATCAGGCAAGGAGAACCGTCTAACAACTTTTATAGCTTCGCCAACAATATAAACTTTAAAGAGAACACCACCTATCAGGAAGCGATTGAAGACATCAGAGGATACAAACTTGGCTACAATGAAATAATAAGCTTTATGACGTGAATACCATGATTGACAAACTCCTGTAAAACCAAAGGTGGTTCAAGTTTTGTCAGAGAGAACTGATCATAAGCAAGACATAGTTGATGTGACTTTGCACTTCCATCCAGTATCAGTGGTTTCGCAACTGAAAAGGTCAGAAATTAACACATAGTTATATAAAGTTTCGACCAGGACTGATCTTCTGTGGTACATAAAAAAATCTTCAGTTTGGAAAGGAGCATCAGAGAAACCCTACATGACTGATCTCATAGCTTCCGGCATGTCGTCACTCATCACCGATCATCATGGATCTACTATCAGTACTATGAGATTAAGCCCATTGCCCAATATGAGTACTAACCTCATGACGCAAATATGATTCTCTTCACTAATATATTAATGCCCTTGCCAATAATATTCAGAGTTTGTTCAAGAGACGTGTTTCTTTAATCCCTCTTTTTAGTCTGTCTGTTTGAGAAACTTGAAACTCTTGCAACCAGAGACACAGGAACCTTAGAAACATACCTAGAGGTAGTCTCAGTCCTGCTTTTGTTACTGCATCGGGGATGGATGAAGGATCTTTTCTGATGACCAATTGCCTTGGAACACCAACTTTGCCTACAACAACAGTCAATAACAAAAGCAACACTTGATCGTTATCACAAAAGAAATATTTAAAATGTTCAAATATTTAACAATAAAGACCTGTAACACAAGGATGAATGGATTAGTTCGAACAACAATCATACGCTTACCTTACTTATTTATACATACATATATATTTATATATATAGACATAGAGAGAGAGAGAGATGATAAAAGAAACACAAATGCAGCTTAACACAGAATCTCAGAAACTACCATAGCAGTAAGGCAAGTTCAGATTTGCTACATGCTCAAGCATGGACTGACGGTTGTTGATACGTCCTATGGCATCTGGAGGATCAAGGACGGTAACTTCAGGATGTTTTTGTCGGTAATCCTTCAAAAGTAAAGGAAACAGGGAAGGTAAAAATGGAAGTCAACCATAAGACTTGAAGAATGAGAAATTCCAAATTACAACGGTTACCCATATAAGGTAGGTCAAACTTCAATCCTCAAAATCAGAAGTTAATTAATCATTAAGACGACTATATCAAACAAATAGGGTGGGGTGACATCATCTTATACAATGATGCCACCCAAGGTCCTAAAAATATGATGCCTGTCAATAAGCCAAATTTGTACACACTTCTTGCAGAAGTAATTGACCAACCATATGAACAATTCTTGCTTGCAAACTGAACCTTGTTTGCAATAAAGATTACAGCGGTTTCAATTATTCTACCAGTATTCTTGTCCATGGTGACACTAGTTGTTAAAAATTACAGCCCTTTTAATTATTCTATCACTATTCTTGTCCATGGTGACCATAGTTGTTAAAGAAAATTTTTTATTATCATTACAGTCAGGGGCGGAGCCAGAAATTATGTCCAAGGTGGGCACTTTACTAAAAAATTTAATTTTTTTCTTCTTAATAAAAATAAAATAATATATTCAAATTTAGTATACTGTATTCGATACTTAAAAATTCATAAAATATGAAAACGGTGAAATTTTGATAAATATAGCATACATAAATAAAAACAAATAAAAAAGAGAGGCTAATTATACCCCTTCATAACAAATGAAACAAACTGCATAAAAGATACTATAATATTTCTCCCTATATATGATCAAACTATTAGTCATTGATCACTCATTTAATTATGTAACCTAATTGTCATAATCTCTATAGCTTTTTTTTTTTTAATTGGAATGTCTATAGCTTAAAAAAAATGAGTTCGACATGTCAAAAACTTATATAGATGCATCCATAAAGTGTCTAAAGTATGTCAAAAAATTCATAATTATTTAGGTACGGGGACTATACTAATTGATAGAACAAAAAATGATAGAGTGGACACACTTAATTATACTCCAAATTATTTGAAATATACATAAATAATATTTTTTTTTAAAATTTGAGGGGGGGGGCACTGGTCCTCAAGTAGCTCCGCCCTTGATTACAGTAACATTTGGTGTAGACGTGTAGTGTCTAAAAACGAAGCTGGTGAAGACCAGTTTAGGTATCTTCTGGCGCAGCAGCGGTATGCAGGGACAATATCACAGCACATGAACTAGTTCATAAGCAACTTAAGAAACTTCCCACAAATGTCCACTATAGCATTTCAAATTCATTATAGACACTAAGTAGGTGATTCTTAAAATATTTATGACTCTCAAAGAAGTGAAGAATAGCTGATTTGGAGATGTAAGTGCTAAAGCCCAAGATGATGTGATTGGTGAATTCTAGCATGATGCCTAAAAGCCCACACTATTGATTTTGCCTGTCAATTCATACAGCATTCATCTTACCGGACTATATAGATTGACACATGGGCTACTTGACCTGAAAATCTGAGTTAAACTATGACCGCAACATAACCAGAAATCACTAACATTGAAGCCCAAATTCGGTATCAATCTGAATAAGCTAGGCAGTTAGAAGACAAGATAAAGAAAACTTTACAGTAAAGGAGGAGTTAAAAAATTCAAATTTTCGCAACTTACGTTCAGCAACAACACCTGAACAAATTATCCAGATTAATCACAAAAAGTAAAATTCTAACTTGTTTGATTTTTTTTGAGGGACTAATATTTGATGACGATCCTTGATGAAGAGAACAAATTTTGTGCAAATTATGGGAGACAAAAAAAGTTCTAATCCTTCAGATGATCCTGTTGTTCCACAAATACACATCGTGAAGGGTATTTAACCACTTGCACGAACAAAAAGCTTGACTTTGAGAAAGTATGCCAGGGGCCATTTGGAAAGAATCCACATCATCACATAGTTTAAGCTATTTCACATTACATCAAACCAATAAGCATCAACAAATACGGTGGACGAACCTGAATAATTTGGAACCACTCCTGCCCCAACAACTACAATGAAAATAAGGATCGTCAGACATGACCGAAGCTAAAACTTAATCAACCTACTACATAACAGTAAGAATACGCACGTCTCTTTTTTCTGTTGGGGAGGAGTCTAGAATCAAATAAAAAAGAGTTGCTCTGAAAGTAGCCCAGAGGGGATTTCTAGTAAGACTCAGCACTGACCTTGTGTAAAACGACGTCAAAAGGACCTTGATCTGACAATGACCTGTTCAGATCGATGCCAACAAATAATATTCCTTTATTTCTGTACCATGTAAAACACCATTCAGTAAGGACAGGAAGTAACCAGAGGAGAAGCTTGGCAATCTAATAACCGCAAACATCTTAAACCATGGAGAGTAGCCACATTAACTAATAAATTCATACCATTATCGAGCATATAGAAAATGGAGTGGGACCCACTTGAGTAAAACATGTGGGCCCACTCCTTTTTTCTACGGCTATGATGATGCAGAAGTTCCGATTGATACACACACATACGCGTTTATTTAACACTTCATAATTTAGAACGAACAAAAAAAAAATAATATGAACTGAAATATTATGATGGCACCAAATTTGTGCAAACAATGGCCAACATTAGATCCATAGTCCATCAGTGCTTCCTTAATACCCTTGTTTAGTGTGGACCAGATAGAATGACCAGATAGAATGACTCATTTTTGCTTTAACATGTAACACACATAATGTAAATCTAGCCAAAAAAATTCAAATACAATTTATATTTGCTTACTCCTGTGACACAAACATTGGACCATTCACACCAAGCAATACAAAAAATGATTGGAAATGCGAAGTCTACAGGAAACCTTAGATGTCCGTGGCATCAACGTGGTTGAGCGCAGGTTACCATAAATATTATTTAAGGTTTGAAAATAATTTTTCCAATAAGACGGTATGGAGTCCTATGGACACGAAAGTCCATGACTACAGAAGAAGAGCACAAGGAATTGACTTTGAATAGAGGTATATATAATGGAATATTCCCATTAAAAAATGGCAAGAAACAAAGAAGATTCCTGATACCAAGAATATCAAACTGATTGGATAAGTGATAAGTCAAAGCAAACAGTTGCCAACAAACAATTTTCCAATCCAGTCCCCATCACACGCACTTGCTTTACCACGACGCATAGAAGCATCATATGTAGAAACAATAGAAACTCAGCAGGCAACATTATTGAACCAACCACAAAAAAGAACAAGAAGAAAACTAAATAATTTCATCAGAAACACACACATGTAGATATTGTTTCAGGTACTTACACTTCCGAAAAAACAGAAATGAGGATCATTCTCAAAAAGACCATAAGGATCCTTTGTCATGGTAATATCAAAGTGCAGAAATAGTTGAAGACTAACAATCTTTGAACATAAGTACAACGAATATGGTCGAATTACATGGATACCTTTGTAATTGTACAGATAACAGATTGAGTTGGCATATATGTGGTATGTATTCATGTAAAATTATTAAAAATTAAACACGTATGGAAGATTGAATATGAAGAATCTAATACCGAGCTAAGGCAACGAGTTTGGGTTGTAAGAAGCTCTTCTTCTTCTTCGAGGTGAGAGCGTAACCGACTATGAGTTTTGGTGGCTGAGGAGAGACAAAACCGATCGGGAACTTGTGCGAATTCACTTCGTTTAATATCTCGTCTTCTTCACCGTCTGTATTGTATGAAATCTCTCCGTTCAACTTCATAGATTCACAAAACCCTAGTTCACCGATCAAATAAGGATCGAAATTCTCTGAATTTAAAGAATAAGTGTTCAAGTTCACAGATCAATTAAACACACACAACCTCTGTCTCTCTACTTGACTCTCTACTATTTGAAGAGAAGAAATGGCGGAGATATCGGAGATAGGACTCAAAGTCAAAGACGAGTGAGCTGAATGGGACTGTTGGTAAATGGATGGTCCGTCAAAAGGCAATTTGACACCAGTTTTGTTGGTAGGATGATAATCGAGTGTAGACTTTCTCGACAAGCCCAAAACATTGGCATGTTTGGTTTACTTTAGTTCTCGAAAACTGTTTTTTCAAAATTTTGAAAACGTTTAAAACTTGTTGTTCAGTATTTTTTTTCTCTAAATTTTGAAAAAAAAATGAGATTTTAGTCAAAAAAACAGAAAATTAGTATAACTTTTTTCAAAGTTTTCTTTAAAAAATTTAAAAATAAGGAGAACAATTTTGAATGTTCAGACATACGTATAATATATATATACTAGTGTGTGTACAGCTGAAGTATATATATAATATGTGATTGTGTATTGGAGTATGTGTAACTATGTGTTGTGGAGTATTTGTGTTGAGTTTGTGAAATTTGGGAGGAAAGTATGTGATGGGTGTGTGAAATTTGGGGAAAAAAATATACCCCTCATAAGTTCAAACATCTAGTTATCTTATTATATAGATATTATGAAATTGTCAATATAAAAATAAATTTTTTATATTTTTTTATTAATATTGAATTACTGTTCAAATATATATATAAGCTGTCCAAACAGGTTTTACTATTTTCTGTATTATAAAATTATTTTTGAAATCATCTAACCAAACAAATTTTTTATCTCAAAAAAAATCAAAACCACTTCTTTAAAACTCTTATCAAAAACTATTTTCGAAAAAGACAAACCAAACAGACCCATTATTTAAGTTCGCTAGTTTAAGAATAAGTTGAGCACTTGCCTACCCGAGCTTGAATTTTATACTATTAAATTAAAATAAATAAATAATTAATTAATTTTGACCGTTGTTACGTACTTTCTTATCTCTAATTTTGTTGTAACCAGGGGCGGAGCTACTTGTAACCTTGTGGGGACAATTGCCCCCACAGAAGTTTCAACAATCAATAAAAATATTATCTCAAAAGGTCATGACTTTCTTCTAATTAGTGTATTGTCTCCTTTAATTTTTAATAAATTTATATAATGACCCATATATTTTGTTTTTCAAGTGAGCTGTTGGCCCATTATTGACCCCCTGACCGAACGAAATAATATTTTATTTTTGGATCCCATGAAATATGTGCAAAAACCTTTGTATATATTCACCAAATCTAATACATATTTTTTTTTAATACACTGATATAATTTGTTATAATAATCATGTAGTTGTTATTGAATTTTTTTCGTTAAATTAGCTGTCAGTATCTATAGTAAAACGCGACGAGATGTAAAATTAAAAACTTTTTCAACACAAACAAACATTTTCTTTTTTTTTAAATAATTAATTTTTAAACAAGATGGGTTGCAACAAAATTAATGACGACTTCGTCATGATGTCTATTATTATACACATTGAAAGAAATTACTATGAAATTTAGCATGGAATTAATTATAGATTTTTTTTAGGATTTGAAAAAATAATTTATTTCACTTTAATATATTATTGAGATCAATACCATTTTTAATATAGTAATTCAATCATGAATCTTAAAATATTTTTCATGTTTAAACTTATAAATTTTTTATATGGGTAGTGTGTTAGACCAATGTGATCAAGCGATCTATCATGTTTTTTTTTATTTTTTGGACATCTAACCTACACAAATTAAGTTGTTTTATTTGGAGGGTGGCCATTGAGATCCTATTTTTTTTATGTCTATGTCTATGTTTTTTCATCTTTTGTCGAATTTGAGTTTTTCGCGGCATGAACTCTAACCAAGTCAAACTAAAGCTCCATAGTCTGTTCTTTCTCATTCAATCTTTTTTATGTTAACTTTGCTTTCAATAAATCCCATTTGTATCATTCCCAACTATCACGCTTATGTCGACTATCACGCAAATGTTGACATTCACTCTCTTTTTGCTCATTTTCACTCCTTTTTGTGAAAAGCACACTAAGCACCAGCTTTTTAAAAAAATAGCTTAGTAGCCACATTAGTAATATTTAGGATGATTTTAGGAGCTGCTTATTCCTTTTGACTATATAATTGTGTGATTTTTACGAAATAAAAAACCCGATTTTGTGCATATATAAATTCTTTGATTCAAATAATACGGAAGTTTTCTTATTTATACCTTTACTTGTTAGAGGGGCAATTGTTCATCAAACTACCAAAGGAAACAAGGTAAATCAAGGTGATCCAAATATTGGAAATGCCTACGATGGGATAGATGAGACTTCCCTTAGTTGTTTTGGATGACATAGTCGGTTGTAGAAAATCCTTCCCTTTTTTGATGCATTTCTTTAGTCGTTAGGGAGTTAAATCTTCACTTTAAGGCTCACATAGAAACCCTCACGTATTTTGCATGAGCCCTATCTTATTGAATGGGAATGAAAGATACCTAAAGTGCAGACAACGTCTCAAGGAATCTAGAACCAGTGACTGAGGTACTAACCCAAAACAAAAGTCAAAAAAGCGAGAGAGCCTTGTTCCAAAGAACCAAAAACATACCCTAGCAAAGAATTCTAGCTGTGCCCCTAATTACAATATGATGATTTTTGGGATGATAAATAATAACAATGAAAGAAAAAAGTTAATAGGGTATTTTTTTTGAAGATAAAATAATAGATTTGAAGAAAATAATTTATTAACCAGCATGCAAAATTTTGACATCACAATAATATGACATGCCACGTGACACACAATCAACATTGTTTTGTTATTTTTTTTTCAATGGTTATGAGTGTTCGAATTAATTTATACGCACTTCAATTAATTTTTTCTAAGGAATTATTAAAATTTGAACTCATAACGTCTGAATTTACGGCTTATTTTTGTCACACCCCATCCCGGTCTTCCAAGGATGAGATGCGACTAAGTTTTTAATACACCTGTTTACAATTATTATAATTTAGACTAATCAAATATTAAATAATTTCACAAGTGCAACAATACCACCCATCATTTTAGTCATTAAGCAAGATAGTAAAATCTGTCTCATAACATATACCATATATATAACAAATGTACCAATCATTGATTTTACAGGTTATAGACATATACAAAATCCTACACCTACATAGCATACACCGTAATAGTATGCTTGTTGAATCTATTTACAATATATACTATTAACCTACCATAATATTCTCTCACAAATATAATACATAATCTAGAAATTAGTCATACTGACACTCAACCTGAGTGATATCACACTAACGATGCACAAGACTCTATCAACTGGACAATGGACTGGTCTGTATCCTTCTTTTATAGTACCTAAAAAGAAGAACTATAGGGGTGTGAGCTAAACCACGCGCTCAGTGAGTATACATGTTGTATATGAAATAGAAATGATAGTAATACACTGAAGTAAATAGATATTACGTAGATACACGTATTAAATAACATCATCAATCTAAATCCAAAGAATTCATAAGTCACATCATATTCATACTACCCCTCATCGGATAATCGATCCCATATGGATTCGTGGATCCTGAACCTTCCAAGAACACCATAGTACTAGCACACCACTACAAGCTCAATGATCAAGCATCAACGTCCCTGTTTCAAACAGTGTGCCACATTCCACAATATACAATACATAGTACCAAGTATCATCCAATCACATAAAGCACGTAGCACATAATCTTAGAGAATTTTATCATTTACTATCATCTTATAATAGCATTTTTAAAACATATAAATATATACACCCACCTTAGATGTACAAATCTACAAACTTTGGTCCTATCGATGGGTCCTTTCGGTGTTACCATATTTATTCTGATACCGACTGTTTCACTCGTTCCACCTAACACATTTGTAATTACAAAATCAATATGTTTATCACATTTAATAGTTAATTATGCACCAATGCATGCAAAATGATGCACCCCAACGTATCCCCGGTAACTCCGATTACCGTACTATTTACTCACACATTAACACTTTTGTTCTAGGAATCACATTTTTTTCTTAAATTTCCAAAATTACTCATATGAATCACAATTAGGATTAAGTAGGTCAAACACATTGATCCGGAGCCCATTTTCAAACATTTCGACCACGAATTCTAAAAAATTCACATATGATATTTCATACATTTCGCATCGGATATTATACTCATTTACATTCGAAAGTCTCATTATCACATCAAACATTATTTAAAAATGCTGCATGCAAAATTTTAAGTCATTTTGATTAAAATTCGCACATGTAATAATAACATTTAGAAATCAGGGTTTCGACGTTACCGACATTCATTTCCAATTTCTATCATACTTTTCTTTCAAAACAATTATACCTAAACTCACACATTTAGTAAATTATGCAAATCAGCCCCCTAATTGCATTTTTAAATCACCTATTTTACTCCCATAATTTCGATTCCAACCTAGCCCTAAAAAACATACTGAACATCTCAAATAGTTATTTTTTACATTTTTCTCATCTTTATTTTAATATTCATTTGAAACCTATCTTTAACAACCAGTTAATTATGTTAAATATATTTAATTACACTTATACAAAATTTGTTTTGACATGAAACTAAATCAGCCCATTAAAACTAAAATAAAATAGCTAATGTATTTAAATTAAAATAATCTACTCATTAAAACATGTTAAAATAGTCTGTACATATACAAATATATATATATTAAAATTAATCACAACTCATGCTTTAATTTAGTTCCACGTACTTTTTCCTTCTCCTTCCTTCCTCGAGGATTCAAAAACCACACACACACGTATACATTTATTTTTCTTCCTCCCTCTGTTTTGCTTTCCCTCGCCCTCGGTTTTTAGTAGAATCAGACCACACACACATATGCACAAATTAAAACACACACACGTACACCCGGCACACACCCACACACCCACACGGCTAACTCACCCATTTTTATATGCTGACACAAATAAAGCTAACTCATGTTAGTGGGGTAATTATACTTGCCTCCCTCCAAGTTCTTAAGCGATTTTAAAATTGACTCACTATTTTTTTCATACTTGAAATTTTATAAATAGGTTTCACTAATACTTCACTAACGGGTCCACATACTCAATGTATGCTCACTCACATCATGCCTATGAAAGATTTAATTTAATTAATCTTTTAATAATTTCACATAATTATAATTTAGCCCATAAAATTATACTAAGTTACATGCAATGCATGATCGGGTCTCACAATTTCTGTTACCACGTGAACTACCCTTAAAGTATGTTTGGAATGCAGGTTAAAAGGGGATAATTTTAGTATGTTAGGATAAAAAAATATGTGGGACTTACATATCCGACAGTAAAAAATATATCAGAAATTTCATTCATATTTTATCCAACTCAAATTGAAAAGTCAACTTTAACCCATCTTCATGGGTTAAATGAAACCCAAGGGGGATTTTTTTTTTTTTGGCCCGACAAGATAATTAATGCAAATGATCGAATTGTCCTATTCTTTTCTCATTTTATCTCATCAGCTTCGTCTCCTCCTCTTGTTTTTGTAAAGATCTAATTTTTTTTGCAACAAATTTATTTAGTAAAAGGTTCTGTCGACAAATTTCAAGAAGACGTATTTTCTATCGAGACAACTAATTTAAATAATAAACTAACTCTAATAAAATAATATCCTATTTGAACTAAGATTAATATAATTAAGTAATGAGAGCCTGAGATAATTAGGAAAAAAATAGTTAATGAAACTATATTCTATCATTTTTTTTCTTGGGTCCTATAAAAGTGTCTAGTCCAAAAATTGGAAAGAATAGGATATAATTATTCAATTTTAACCAATCTAATAATAAGTGTGCTTAGGTTAATAAATAATATTTTTTTAGATCTCCAGTCCAGTCTAATTCTATTATTCAAACACAACATTAGGATTAACATTGTTTTGTTATCATTTATGCCAATTTTCAGTCTCTCATAAAGTCATAATAATACCAAAATAATTAAAATTCAGCGCTGTGGACCCCTCTTGCTTACGTTAGTAAAGGCCCCACCTTTTAACAAGGTAGTTGACCGTTAAAGTCGGACAGCTACTGCTCCTACCGCCCTTTTCACCTGTCCAGGTTTCAAACTAATTTATGGGCCGTAACGTACAGCACTTTAGACTAATGACTAGATATTATATTTTGAGTAGTGTAATGTATTTTAAATTTGTATTTTAAATAAAAAAAATTATTGGACGAGTGCGTCCTATCATTTTTTTAAATGATACACGCTCATCCCAGGATCCTTCTTGATTTAAAATATAAATTTAAATTATAAATTTGAAATATATATAATTACTATTATATTTTATTCATCTTCCATGCAATATTATTTACCACTAAACCCCAGCTCTTGTGCCTTACCTTGTAAACCCCAAAATATTTCTACCCCAAAGTACAAAATTGGACGGAGTTTTCAATCACACCCACCTCAATATCATCGACACCCACCTCCTTCTTTACCAAAAATCCATGATCAATTCATCATTCTGAGTCTTTTGATCTTAGCCTTGATCGTCACTTTCTTGAAACAACATGGCGGTCATGGGAGATTCAGCTCTTATCTGTTCTCAGATCATCGCTAAAAACCCAGATTTTAATTCCAAGAATCGGGTAATCCACGATGCGATTTCTTTCCGTAGAGTATGTTTTAGTGGGGAGAAGTTGAGATTTAGAAAGGGTAGAGTAGGAGTTCGGGCGGTGATGGAAGTGGGCGCGGAGGAGAGAGAGAGTACCGGTGTTTTGAAGAGTTTGGAGGGGTCTTTAGGATTTGATGTGGTGTCTGCATCGGAATTGAAGAAGAAAGGTTTTTTGGGGTTGAGGAAGACCAAGCTTGTTTGTACGATTGGGCCGGCGTGTTGCTCATTGGATGATTTGGAGAAGTTGGCATTGGGAGGGATGAATGTGGCGAGGCTTAATATGTGTCATAATACGATCGAGTGGCACCGGAATGTGATTAGGAAGATAAAGAAATTGAATGAGGAAAAGGGGTTTTGTGTGTCTGTGATGATAGATACAGAGGGCAGCCAGATCAATGTGGTTGATCATGGTGCTCCTTCTTCAGTCAAAGCAGAGGTAATATACCAGAAATTATTAATTTGGTGTGCTTTTATGATTTTAAAATCTACAGGAGTGAGCAATTAAGGAAACAAGAAAAAGAATTTCTAGATCTGATTGAGTTCATGATTATTATTTGTTGGTAAAAACAAGGAAAAAAAATATAATTTTGACAGTATACTATTTATCTTGGATCAGGATGGTTCAATCTGGTCTTTCACTACTGAAAATTTTGAGTGTTCTCGCCCATTCACAGTTCAGGCAAACTATGAAGGTTTTGCTGAAGGTAAGAGAATGGCCGATCTTGATTAAAGTTTTATATTACCTTGAACCAGTCATGAAAATTTTGTTACATCTCTCCCTCTCTCAGGTATAAAAGTGGGTGATGAACTTGTTATTGATGGGGGAATGGCGACCTTTGAAGTTATAGAAAAGATTGGGAATGATTTGCTTTGTAAGTGCACAGACCCTGGTCTACTCCTGCCTCGAGCTAAATTGAGCTTTTGGAGAGACGGGATACTCGTTGGCAAAAATTACGAGCCCCCAACTTTGTCTACAAAGGTTAATTTTTTACCCTTGTTTGATGTATGAGTTTTGTGTCTTGGTCGCAGTGACCACTTGTCATTTGCATTTGGACTCGTAGATATACACCTTGCTTTTAGTTGCAACTTAAGAGAATCCCTTGGTTGAGGTATCTGAATAACAATCATATCTGTAGTGCTTCTGTCAGTTCCACTGACTTTTATCATCTCATTGATGTTAATAGCACGTGTTCGTTTATAACAGTTTTGCGCATCCCAAAGAAGATACAGTCTACGGTCTTAGTAAAAAGATCGCGATAACCACTTATTATTTGTGTTTTGGTTCATATTATCATTATCAGCATCATATTGTTTGTTTATTGCATTTTCTATTATATAATCCAGCTTTGCATGTAATGTATAAGATCAATTTGAGATTGCACATTGTGTTCTCTCAACACAAACTTTCCCGGATAAATGTATCGTAATTAACCTTGTATATGTTTGGGAATCGGCTTTCCATTGTACACTTTAAAAATCGTGCAAAGTGTGTGCTGAGTTTTTAGAGCTACAGGGGTGGCATTCTAGTGTTATTTTAGTTTTTTGTTTTTCCTTTCCTTCTTTTAAATTTCTTGGTTTTGTTAAAGTGGACTGCTTTTTACAGACCATTTCTTATATATGCTTGAATGACCCTTTAATAAATTCCTATGCTCTGGATAATATATCACTAACTGGATATTTTTTATTTACATTATACAGTAAATCTGAGAATTAACTAATTGCAGTTTGTGCATATTGTTTTTCTTCATTTGAATGCCTTACAGGATTGGACCGACATCAAGTTTGGAATTTCTGAAGGTGTTGATTTTATCGCCATGTCATTTGTGAAAGATGCAGATGCTATCAAGCATCTAAAGAACTATATTTCAACCAATTCCTCCAAGTAATGTCACAGTCTGAAATAAACTCCATATAGTTTCACCCAAGGAACAATATATTCTCCTTTGAAGCATCATATATCATGTTTCTCTTGGACACCTTATCAAACAAGCTGATGTGCAAAATATGTGATTTGCATTTCCTACATCGGTGTTCTTTTCCAGGAGTTCGTAACTCCTCCTATTTCTTTAGGATAATACATGAAATTGATGAGTCTGTACATCTTTTAAGACAAATGTGTGCATCACTAATCTTGTTTTCTTTGCCAAGCAAATATAGAATTGCTTCTGACTCTCTTTTGGAGGTCGGATGCTGAAAGTCCAGATGTTTCAATTCACAGATCCATAAAAGTTTTGGCAAAAATAGAGAGTTTGGAATCCCTCCATAAATTGGAAGAAATTGTCATAGCTTCTGATGGAATCATGATTGCGAGAGGTGACCTTGGAGTTGAAATCCCGCTTGAACAGATACCAACAGTGCAAGAGAAAATTGTTCATGTCTGCAGGAAGCTTAACAAGCCAGTGATTGTAGCCTCTCAGCTTCTGGAGTCAATGATTGAATATCCTACCCCAACCAGAGCTGAGGTACTGCCATTTTATTTTTCTGGAAGAAACTGTTTCTCAGAATTTGTGCCATTAGTAATGAATTTCTCCTCTCTTTTTTTTCCCGGGGGTGGGGGGAAAGGCAACAGATGGGGGTTTTCTAGAATCTAGAAAGACTTGAATCCCTTAGTCTTCATCTATAGGTAAATGTGTACTTTCATTCTGTGACAAAAAGAGAGAAAAAATGTCCTCATTCATATTGCCAAGCTATTTTCTTCTTGCTTGCTGGGGTTCTTCGTTGATTTGCATATTTGAGTCTCCTTGTTTCCATGATAGATTGGATTTTTCAGTGTACATACATTAGTATTCTCTCCTTTCTGTTTAACATACATTAGTATTCTCTCCTTTCTGTTTAACTTCTTCCAATGTAAAAAAGGTTGCAGATGTTTCTGAAGCAGTTCGACAGTATGCTGATGCCCTGATGTTATCTGGAGAATCAGCAATAGGATCATTTGGGCAGAAGGCTCTTTCTGTCTTGGAGATGACTAGCAGCCGAATGGAACTATGGAGTCGGGAGGAGAACAGGCAAAGTGTTCTTCAGCAGCATCTACTTGGTGTATCGTTGCCAGACCAGATTGCTGAGCAGATCTGCAATTGTGCAGTAGAAATGGGTATATTCTGTTTCTCTCAATGTTCATCATTAGCGGATGGAGCTGTACAGAATAAGCTAGAATGGGTTGATTTTAACACATTACATTTCCTGGTAGGATGTATAGGAACTCTATGTTTTTAACATATTGCACTCTTGAAAGGTTGGTTAAATGTATACTATGTTGTTAAAACAGTCCAGTCACTACGTGTCTAACCAACAAGTTTAGTAAATGGATGGACCTGAGTCTCTTTGTGTTTACAAGCAATAGCCTTCAATGGAAATTATATGAAGTTATTTTTCAAGGCTTAATGGATGAGCCATAATGTTTGTACATTTTAAATACTTAGTAACCTGTGCAACATTACCATAAAAATGGAAAAAAGATTCCAAAGGATTAGAACTTGTAATATAAATTAGCCAATGTGTCAAACTCTGTTATAGTGGAAACATTTGTCATGCAGATATTCATGAACAAAGATAAGTTCAACAATTGTTATCAAAGCCGTCCTTGAACTAAGAAACCATTTTGAGCCATGAGTATGTAACCCTTTGAGAGATGTTTGTGCTTGAAGAAATTTCACCTTTATGACTTTTCTGCTCTATCTGCAGCTAACAAACTTGGTATGGATGCCATCTTTGTGTACACAAAACATGGAGAAATGGCGTCACTTCTGTCGCGCAACCGTCCAAATTCTCCCATATTTGCATTTACAAATGACGACAGCACCCGGATGGCTCTCAATTTGCAGTGGGGTGTTACACCTCTCCTCACAGATTTATCAGATGACATGGAATTCAACATTGCCAAAACCGTCGATCTTATAATAACAAAGGGGATGGTGAAACAGGGAGATGTGGTTCTGGTGGTCTCAGATATCATTCCAATTTCTGCAATCCCAACCTTGTTCCAATCAATCCAGGTGAAAACTATTGTTTAGGAGACAATTCTCTTGAACGTGGTAAATAATTTACTGTCATCGACTGTAAAGAAAGGAAACCAATAGTTGAACCTTTACCCCTTTACACTGTAGTAGAAGATATATATTTGGTTTCTCTTATTTTAGTTGGTATGTATCATGCTACTAGTGTCATGTACTTGGCTTTCAAGACTATACAGTTTATGAAATGAGTTTTAGATTCGATTCATTTGTCCTGTGTTGCATGTTTATTTTCTTTTTTCTTTGTCTAGATGTATGGGTAGTTTTGCTATTTGGATAGTTTCAAGGGTAAACTTGGCTTTAATCTCTGTGATTAGGTGCACGATTAACTGCGATAATGATATAGAAAAAATGGCCTTAATACTCCATCAGTTTATGGAGTGGATAGTGACAAACTAAACTACATGAAATGCAACTGGACCTGCTCTCAACATTGTGTGATGCAAGAACCATGTGGAGAGAGGTTTGATGGAGCTTGAATAACCTGGTTGAAGCGTAATGAGCATAAATTTGCTAGTTAAAATATGGGCATCCGCTACTGGGAAGATGCTGCTAGCTTCAATCATTAAAAGAAAAAAAGTCAAAAAAATATATATATATTTTGTTGTTACACGAGTGGATGATGAGAACCATGTTATGTCTCTTTGTGAATTGTGCACGACGTTTTTGAACAGCAAGATCGAGAAGGATCAGATGTGTGCAACCTATTCCGAGCAAGTACACCACTAAAGAGAAGGATTATGCTACTGCTATTAGATTTGAGGTAATGACACGAAAACATGGAATACTAGGGGCACATTGATATCATTTGAAGAGATTTAAGGCTTCTGATCATTGGAAAGAAATTGACACCCCCCCCCCCCCCTCAAAAAAAAAAAGGCAATTGGAAAGAAACTAAAAAGTTTAATACTGGTGTGCGTGACACTCTCTCAATGGGAATTACCTCCTGGAAGGACTAGAGTTAACTTTGAGAGAGGTAATTACCTTGGAATTAACCTTTTCGAGACAAAATTCTATTAATCCTTCTATTTATTAACCACTTCCGGCACATCATCACACGATTGTCCGACTATTAGGAAGGCATGAGACAAGTTGAGAATTGAAGGTGGAAGAAATCCTACATTGGGTCTTATCTTGTATTTATATATATTTTTTTCTTGAGTAGTTGGATCAATTGAAGAGTGAGTGAACCTAATTTGTTGATTTATTTTAAAAAATCTACCTCTTGAAACAATAATAGATCATTAAAAACACTAAGATATTTTGACTCATGGCACATTTTATTCTTCATTCAACACAGTTTGGTTAGTAAGACGGACCTCCATTGACTGAATGAACTGTATTAAGTTTTGGGTATGAGTTCGACTTCTTGTCGACTGTGTTAAACTTGATTGACCATTTCACGTGTTGAGAGACAGTTGCATGCGATAATACTCTCCAAATAAAAATTACCTCCCGAAAAGAGCTTAGATTAGCTTTGAAGAAAATAATTCCCTTGGAGTTAGCTTTTTCGGGACAAAATTGTATTAACCCTTCTATTTATTAACCAATTCCAACACATCATCACACGAGGGTCCAACTACTAGAAAAACAGAGACAAGTTGAGATTAAAGGTGGAAGGAATCCTAAATTGGCTCTTCTCTTGTCTCCATATATATATATATGTGTATATATTTTTTTTTTCTCGAGTAGTTGAATCAAATGAAGATGTAGTTGAACCTAATCCACAAAGTTATTATTTTAAAGATCAACCACTTTGAGACAATAATAGAACATTAAAAACCCTTAAATATTTTGACTTATGTCACTTTTTTTTTATATTTTAAACTAAATTAATGAATGGCGGGTCAGGAGTTTCTGCTTTATTATAAATGGAGAGTCTAGTAAAATGAACTCTCTCCTTAAATAAGCAAATATAGGCTTAGAGCATCTCCAATTGTTATTCAAATTTAATTTGAGTAAAAACATGTTAGGAATAAACTATAAATTTTTACTTAAATCACTAATGAGCATATTTCATTATTTCTTACAGATCTAATATTTATGTTTTATCCTCATTTTAATTTGAGTTTGTCACTTTTTAAATTTATTTATTTATTAAATTTTTTACTCAAATGTTATGTGAACTTTGAGTAAAATTTAGAGGACTCAATGTTAGAGATGCTTTTAGTCAAATAAAATTGGGTTGCATCGCTTGATTCTTCGATCAAAACAAATTATTAGGATCATTATGTCCATATGACATATATATTAAAAAAATAATTAATGGTACTTTTATTTTCTAAAATATGTGTGTTTTATAAACTTGATCTTCGTTATATTAATTTTATCAATTTGATCTCTAAAGTATTCAGCTTGTGTTTAATTTTATCAAATTTGGTCTCTAAAGTTTTTAGTTTGTGTTTAAATGTACCAAAGTAAGGTAATTGATGAGGTTAATGGAATTAAAAAAATTATCATAATACCCCACTTTTAAAATAAGACTTTTCGCCTAATTTATTCTTGATCATAAAACTAATGGAATATGAAAGTAAATTAACACATTACAATCAAACATGTCAAGTCTCTTTTTCTCTGAAGTGAGGTTTTGTTTTAGGGTCAAAAATCAATTATGTTTTTCTTACACGTTTTTTGATCTAGGATCGATGCCCTACATATTTAGGTATTATATCATATTTATATCTATCTATATTACTAATAAAAGCTTCTTAAGATGAAAAAACTTTGATTCTCTATTTTCCTCTTATAAAAAATTATAAAGACCGCTATATTCTTTCACAATTAAATATCTAAGGTGCCGTTTGATAATCGTGTTTTTGTGTTTTTTTTTACCTTTTTTTTACCCTTTGCAACAAGAAAAAAAGGATAAATTACTTGACATTTGGTTTTATTTCACGGATGCCCCTCACTTTTCAACAATTACACTGAGACTCTAATAGTTAGATGAAATTAATTATCTTAATAAAAAGACTATTTTGCCCCTCTGTTCATCAGTTTTCTCTCTCTCCCCCTCAGCCCATTTCTGTGTGTGCGTGTATATATATATATATGTATGTATATATACCCCAATACAGAGAAAGGAAAATCTCCAGCGATATAACAGACCCCAATACCATCGATTCTCTCTCTCTCTCTGGCGATATATCATATACCCCAATACCCCGTGATTCTTTTTTCTCTCTCTCTCTCTCGCAATATAACAGACCCTCAATACCCAGTGACGCAACCATAACAAAACAACAACCCTGATTTATTCTTGATCATAAAACTAATGGAATATGAAAGCAAATTAACACATTTCAATCAAACATGTCAACTCTATTTTTCTCTCAAGTGAGGTTTTGTTTTAGGGTCAAAAATCAATTATATTTTTCTTACATATTTTTTGATCTGGGATTGATGCCCTACCTATTTAGGTATTATATCATATTTATATTTATCTATATTACTAATAAAAGTATTTTAAGATGAAAATTTTTTAAATCTCTATTTTTCTCTTATAAAATATTATAAAGACCATTGTATTCTTTCACAATTAAATATCTAAGGTGTCATTTGATAATCGTGTGTTTGTGTTTTTTTTTTATTACTTTTTGCAACAAAAAAAAATAATGTGTTTGTGATGTGTTTCTGTTTTTTTAAGCCACATTATTTTGAAAACAAGGTCCAAATCTGTAAACACAAAAAATGATATTTTTGAAAACATCCAAAACTAAAAACACTTGCGCATCCCTATTAACAATCAATGAAGTCCAGCCTTCAAATCTCATTAGCAACAAAATGAAGGTTTTTTTTTTGTGCCAACTGTAAAATACCCTTTTCCTCGTCTCTCTTTCTCTATCTCGTTTCTCTCTTCTGAAACTAGTGACGAAGACGAAGAAGTCGAAGACAAAATCAAAAACGAGGATGAAGACAAAACCTACATCGTCTCTCTTGCTCGTTTCCCCTTTTTTCCTTAACTTTATACCACATATATATATACATAGATTTACACGTGTTAATTTGTGTTTGTGCGTATATGTGTGTTGTATATATAGATCTCTGTGTATATATGTATGTGTGCTGTATATATAAATCTGTGTGTATGTATATGTGTGTGTCTGTGAGTATGTGTGTGTGTATCCTAGCAGGATCTCGTTTGTGAGTGTGTGTCAACAAGAACAAAACCAAAATTTTTTTTATCATAAAGAACATCTCCAATTGAGGTATTTGGGATTAAAATATTAATTAAAATAACATAAATAAAATATTACCTAAAATATATAATATCAAACAAATTTTTTATTTTTATTTTTATAATTGTTTAAATATAAATAACTACCAAATATATTTTATATTTTAAAATTTTATCATCATATCCTTATGTTTTTAAATCTCCAAATTATCTATAACATCTCTTTTAATTATTTAATTTGTTTCTATAAAAAAATTTTGATTGATTATATTACCCTTAAAATAATATGCATAATTATATTTTTAATAAAATATTCAAAACTCCATTAATATAATATTACTTATCTCATATGTAAAGATGCATTATGCATATGTGTATTTTCTTTTTTATTGAAAAGTTTAACCTTTTTATTTTTAAGATAAAAAGTAATCGTATATATAGTTTTTTAAAATTAATTTATGTTAAATCAACATAATTCTTTAGCCACAATAAAATTTTTAAGTTGTATTAAAATTTTATATAAAAATAGATATTGTAGTGTATTTTTAAGTAAAATTTAAATTTTTTAGAATTTTAATATATTTGATAATATATATTATACAGTAGTATGTTAAATCTTATGTCAATTGACTTAACTAATTCTTAATTACAGTATGATTCTAATATGATTAGTATATTGACATTTACTTTTATTTTATTCAATAAATTATAAGTGGAATCTTAATCAAATGAATTTCAAAAAATTTAATTTCTCGAACATCACTAAAATTCTAAAAAAATAGAACTTTAACTAATTTTTTTTTTATCTTTTTTTTTATAGATAGAACAAAAATTTTTGTGAACATACAAAATTTTTATAATCGTATAATAGAATATGAGTAATGAAAAATTAAGTTTGATAAATTTGAGATAATATTTAATTCAGATACATATATATCTAATATATTTTATTAATTTTTTGTGTACAAAAAATATTCACGTACAACACATGTGATGCATTGCTAGGATTATAAAATGT